TGAATAAAGGTAAGCAAAGAATTTGATTTTTTTTGAGCTCCCTTGTTGCCGGCTGTTTTTTGCCCGTAATTCTGCGCGCGAAGATCCGGACGAAGACGACAGAGTCGTTTGGATACCGTTTGGTTGGATTCCGGTGTCCGGGATCAAACCGGACGAAGACGACAGTCGTTTGGATACCGTCTGGTTCGATCCCAGACGAAGACGCTGGTGGATACCGTCCGATTGGAGTCTGGACAGTCTGGACGAAGACGACTGATTCGTAAGATACCGTCCGGTTGGGTAAAGGTACGGTTGCCAGTTTTTGTGTGAGAGTGTAACTGAGACTTCTAAAGTCAGCGTGGAGGTCTTTTTGTTTTCTCACTGGTTCTGATCTCCTGTCGGGGGGGCTGGGCTGATGAGAAGAGGGATACGTGGGTGGGTGATAGGTCCTAAACCCCCTGCAAGACACTCTCACCAGGCAACCAAGGGCTGTGGGAATTGCCACTAGTAAAATTCCCAGATGGGTCAAATAAAATCGAAGACCAAGGACCAGAAAGGGAGCGAAATACCAGACATACCACCAGAAAGTCCATTAGGAATAATGATTGGAAATTGGAACAATAGGGGCCCCAGAAAAGGGAAAAATAAAGTAAAATTGGTTCAGTACTGTATGATGGAATGGCCAAAAAAACCTTTAAGACCACATGTTTTCTGGCCTGTTTTTGGATCTTTTGATGATTGGATTTGTCAGGCTTTGAATATATACGTTAATTTAAAAGAACCTTTCTGTCAGGAAGAAAGTGAGTACGCAGAATTGTGGGTTAGGACTTCACGTCCAGCCTCAATATTTGCACTAAAAACAAAAACGAAGGAGGATTCTGGAGGAGAGGAAAAGCAGGAGAAAGAAAAGAATGATGAATGGGAGCCGTTGGATAATTTACCACCTCTGGGTCCTAATAACACCCTCCCGGCTCCCCCTGCTCCCCCTCCGGTACCGGTAATATCTCCGGCAGTGCGGCCAAGGCCCCCGAGGCCTCTGCCTCCAGCACAAACAGCACCAGAGTTAGATCTGCCTCCGGCTGCATGCACAAGAAGTAAGACTGCCGTATCTGAGGAAACCCCTCTATATCCATTAAGAGAAGTACCTCTTGGAGGCAATCAGGGAGGTATTGGGTTTGTGGCAGTCCCTTTAAACACCACAGAGGTGAGAACTTTTAGAAAAGAGATGGGGACCCTGTTAAATGACCCCCTCGGAGTAGCCGAAAAACTAGATCAATTCCTGGGTCCTAACACTTATACCTGGGAAGAAATACAATCCATTTTAGGCATTTTATTTACTGCTGAGGAAAGGGGAATGATCAGGCAAGCTGGAATGAGAATTTGGGAAAGACAAAATCAAGCAGGACCCCCAGGAGATCAAAAATGGCCAAATGTGGATCCCCACTGGGACCACCAGCAACCCCAGGGGAGACAAAATATGAGAGATTTGAGAACAATAATTATACAAGGAATAAGAGAAGCGGTTCCACGAGGAAAAAACATTAATAAAGCATTCAATGAACACCAAGGAAAAGAGGAACCTCCAACGGAATGGTTGGAGAGATTAAAGAAAAGCCTGCAAATGTATTCAGGGATCGATCCGAATACAGCAATTGGAACCGCACTTCTTAGAACACAATTCGTAGCCAAATCCTGGGGGGACATAAGAAGGAAATTAGAAAAGCTAGAAAACTGGCAAGAGAGAGGATTAGAAGAGTTACTTAGAGAAGCGCAAAAAGTATATGTCAGGAGAGATGAGGAGAAACAAAAAAACAAAAGCCAAGATCTTTGTAGCAGCAATAAAAGAGAGTCAGAAAAAACCCTTGTCAGGAGAGAGGGAAAAGAGAAGAAGTATCGAAGAAGCCCCTAGAGGTCAGCCGTCTCAAGGGAATTCAGTGATCCCCGCTTGTTACTATTGTCAAAAGAAGGGACATTTGCAGAAGAATTGCCGTAAGCGGGAACAAGACGAGAAAATGTTTAAAGAAGAATAGGGGTGTCAGGGGCTATATCTTCTGGGGACTTCAACATCAACAGAGCCCTTGATAAAATTATTAATTGGTCCCCAAAAAGAAGAAGTACTATTTTTAGTAGACACGGGAGCTGAAAGATCCACTATTCAAAAACTCCCAGAGGGGATAAAAGAAGGGAAAAATTACACGTCTGTAATAGGGGCAAAAGGAGAGCCTTTTAAGGTTCCTGTTTTAAAAGATGTGGAAATAGAAACTGATCAAAAGATTTGTCTTAATGATTTACTTCTGCTCCCTGAAGCGGAGTACAATTTACTGGGAAGGGATCTGATTTTAAAATTAAACTTAAGCATTCAAAGTCAAGGGGATAAATTGCAAATTAAATTATACACTTTAACACAAAAAGATGAAGAGGTTATTAACCCTTCAGTGTGGTATAAGGAAGGGGAAATTGGAAAAATGAGAATGGACCCCATAAATGTGCAAATAATGGATCCACATCGTCCTATTCGAATTAAACAATACCCTATACCAATGGAGGGTCGAAGGGGATTAAAACCCATAGTTGATAGACTTTTGGAAGAAGGGACTTTAGAACCATGTATGTCACCTCACAATACACCCATCCTCCCTGTAAAAAAATCGGATGGGTCGTACAGGATGGTACAGGATTTGAGAGCTGTAAATCAGCGAACAATCACTAAATTCCCTGTGGTAGCAAATCCTTACACTCTGCTGAGTCACATCTCTCCCAAATATACTTGGTATAGCGTAATAGATCTAAAAGATGCCTTTTGGACCTGTCCTTTAGATGAAAATTCCAGGGATTATTTTGCTTTTGAATGGGAAGACCCGGAAACGGGACGAAAACAACAATTAAGGTGGACCGTGCTACCACAAGGTTTCACTGAGTCACCAAATCTATTTGGTCAAACTTTGGAGAAAGTTTTACAAGATTTTACATTACCCGGGGAGGTAAAGTTGTTGCAATATGTGGATGATTTATTAATAGCTGGAGAGACTGAAGAAGGAACCCGAAAAGCTACTATTGATTTGTTAAATTTCCTAGGGGAAAAGGGATTAAAGGTGTCTCGGTCAAAGTTACAATTTGTGGAACAGGAGGTAAAATACTTAGGACACTGGTTGAGCAGAGGAGAAAAGAAATTGGATCCTGACAGGGTATCCGGGATCCTCTCCTTAAGACCCCCACGAACTAAAAAGGAAATTCGGCAAACATTGGGATTATTAGGATATTGTAGACCGTGGCTTGAAAGCTATAGTGAGAAGGTTAAATTTTTGTATGAGAAATTAATTGATGATCAATTTAAGTGGTCCGCAGAAGATGACCAAAAATTTGAAGAAATAAAAAAAGCATTAATACAAGCACCTGTACTAAGTCTCCCAGATCTAGAGAAACCCTTTTATCTCTTTGTGAACACATCAAATCAGACAGCATATGGAGTCCTTACTCAAGAATGGGCAGGAATTAAAAAACCCGTGGGGTATTGTTCTAAATTACTTGATCCAGTAAGCAGGGGGTGGCCTGCTTGTCTTCAAGCTTTGGTCGCTACAGCATTATTAATAGAAGAAGTGAGAAAGATTACTTTCAGTGCCCCCTTAAAAGTGTACACTCCACACAATGTCAGAAGCGTCTTACAACAGAGAGCGGAGAAATGGTTAACAGACAGTCGGATCCTAAAGTATGAAGCTATACTAATTGACTCCCCTGATTTAGAACTGAAGGTAACTTCTGCTCAGAGCCCAGCACAATTTTTATTTGGAAAACCATCAGAGGAATTACAACATAATTGTCTGGAGGTAATTGAGACCCAGACTAAAGTAAGACCTGATTTGAGAGATACTGAATTAGAGAAGGGGGAGATACTATTCATAGACGGTTCCTCTAGAGTAGTAGAAGGAAAAAGAAAATCAGGATATGCCATAATTAATAAACACCTAGAATCTGTGGAATCAGGCCCCCTGAGTCCATCGTGGTCAGCTCAGGCTTGCGAGCTGTATGCCCTACACAGGGCCCTGGAGCTATTGAAGGGAAAAAGTGGAACTATATATACAGATTCTAAATATGCATATGGAGTGGTTCACACCTTTGGAAAGATTTGGGAGGAAAGAGGTTTAATTAATACGCAAGGGAAAAATCTTATACATCAAGAATTAATAAGGAAAATTTTAAAAGCATTAAGGGAACCTAAAGAAATAGCAGTAGTACATGTAAGAGGGCACCAGAAAGGATTGGAATATCACACTAGGGGAAATAATCTAGCAGATAAAGAAGCTCAAGAAGCAGCTTTAAGAATTCAGGCTGCTAAAATCAATATAGTACAGGAAGAAGAAAGACAGGAAGAAGAAAAAGAAGAAGAAGAAAAGAGGTTCACTCCTGAAGAACGAACAAAACTGGAAAAAATAGGTGCTAAATTAGAACGAGGAAAATGGACATTGCCAGACGGACGAGAGATGTTACCGAAGGCTTATGCAAGACAAATATTGGAACGTTTGCATACACAAACACACTGGGGTACAAGAGCACTAAGTAATCATTTACTTAAACAATTTGGTTGTATAGGGGTTTTTGAAATAGCAAAGCAAGTCACACAAGGTTGTTTAACTTGTCAGAAAATAAATAAGAAAATATTCCGACAGGCGGCAGCGGGAGGGAGAAAAACAGCATATCGGCCTTTTGAGAGAGTACAAGTTGATTTTACCGAATTACCTAAAGTAGGGAGGATCAAGTATTTATTGGTAATTGTGGATCATTTAACACAATGGGTAGAAGCTTATCCTGTGGCACGAGCTACGGCACAAGTGGTGACAAAAATTTTATTGGAACACCTGATACCTAGATATGGGATAATCCAGTACATTGATTCTGACCAAGGCACACACTTTACTTCTAAAATAATAAAATTATTATGTCAATCATTAGGTATTCAGTGGGAATATCATACTCCGTGGCACCCACAAAGCTCAGGGAAAGTAGAGAGAATGAATCAAACAATAAAACAACAATTGGCTAAATTAATGGTTGAGACACAAATGCCTTGGACTCGATGTTTACCATTGGCACTTTTAAACATAAGAACTAAATCACATAGTGAGACTGGATTATCACCATATGAAATGTTATATGGTATGCCTTATTCACAGGGAATGCCTCTGGGAGACAATGTAGTTGAAGATCGTAGTATCCAGAAATATATAATTACTATTGGGAAAAGGTTGCAAGAACTAAGAGAAATTGGAATACTGGTTCAAACACCACCTTTAGGATTTGCTATCCATAAAATACAACCAGGGGACGAGGTTTTAATAAAAACTTGGAAAGAAGAATCTTTACAGCCCCGGTGGGAGGGACCGTACCTTGTTTTACTTACCACCGAAACAGCTGTGAGAACAGCAGAAAGGGGTTGGACCCATGCATCCAGAGTAAAAGGACCAATAAATACCAAAACTTGGAGGGTTGAGTCCGCTCCTGGGGAACTGAAATTAAAACTAAAAAGAACTAATATTCCGGAAATAGGGCATGCTTTACATGAAACACCAGAAGAAGGGGACAAGCAAGCCCGCAATGAAGAAAGGTGAGAAGGCAAGACCGGGGCGGGTCTCTCCACTGCGGTGTGTATAGTCTACCGAGGGAGGCAACCCCTATGGGTATTGACTGCCGAGTGTGAGGGCCTCTACCGGACTTCTCCCGCACTGAAATCAAGCTGTCCCAGAGAAAGAAACAAATGAGCAAACGGAAAATGTATGTATATAGTAAGAATTTTGTTGTTTTTTTTAACCTATTGTAATTAGTTTTCCAGGAGCTGAATCACTCTCGAAAGCCGAACAGTGACACGAGTTTAAACAGATTCTGGAGGTGGATCCAACCCCAAGGCATTTCTCACACCTTTACGATACTCGCTGGACGACGCAGAAGGATGTTATACTTCCTGGTACTATTCTTACAAGGGCAATTGAGCCATGGAAATAATTTTTTTATTTTGGGGGAGGAAGTGGCTAAGGCTTTTAATCTTAGCAATTGCTGGGTTTGTGGAGGACCAGGAGAAGCTGAAAGTTGGCCTTGGGTAGCTGGCCCAGTCGAACCTAAGTGGTGGGTTAGTAATTTGAGTGAGGTTCATGATGGAACACAGTTCTGGAAAGAGGAGGAGGACCCGTGGCAATTGCATTCATCAAGAAAAGGTATATATTGTTTAAACCGAACAGGAACAGTAAAAGTAGGAGAAAGCATTTGTAAATGGACTCTGTCCCCTGGATATGAATGTACTGATCCTGAATGTGGACCTATAAACTGTACAGCAAGTAAAGGGAAATGGAATACCACACATGTCCAGCTAAAAAACGGGACTTGGCTGAGATGCTCATCGAAGGAATTTTTTGGGCCTGGGTGTAAAGCCATGGCAAGAGCACAATCAAAAGGACAATTTGACGTTCAAATTTTGAGTTGTCAGCGTGATAACACCACCAATGAACAGCATGTGGTAAAAGTTTACCGCTGGAGGTGGCAAAATGAGAATGGGACACAAGTTTCTTTTAAACATTTCTGGTCAGCTCGTAATATGACAAATCGTGAAGGAGAAATTAGTTGTAATTGTGAGTGGGAATCTAGTGCGGGGGCTTGGAAGTGTATGTATACAAGCATTAATGAGGCAAACATTGTAACGGGGCCTCTTGGTAATGAGAACACCTTGTATTTTCATGCCCCAAGAAATAAAAAGGAGTGGGACGGTCCTTTTCCAAATGGGGTGTGGGCTTTAAAAGGACATTATTGGATATGTGGCAAACGGGCCTACAAAAGGCTACCAAAAGATTGGTCAGGAGTATGCTACGTGGGATACATAAGACCTTTATTCTTTTTATTATCTCAAATACAAGGGAATCACTTGGGAATAAAATTATATGATGATATTGATATTGATAGGGAGAAACGATACATTGATACCTCTTTAGCCGGAGGTAGTGCTCAAAAATGGAGAGAAAACGAATGGCCTCCTGAAAGAATCATACAATATTATGGACCAGCTACATGGAATCCAAATGAGGTAATATCTGGAGCTCGAGAACCTATTTATAATTTGAATCGCATAATTAGGTTACAAGCAGTTCTCGAATTAATAACTAATCAAACAGCAACAGCTCTGGATCTCTTAGCTGACCAATCTACCCAGATGAGGAATGCTATTTTCCAACATAGAATGGTCTTAGACTATTTACTAGCAGAAGAAGGGGGTGTGTGTGGTAAACTAAATTATTCTAATTGTTGCTTACGAATTGACGATAATGGAAAAGTAGTTAAAAAGATAACCAAGGAAATTAGAAAATTAGCCCACGTCCCAACACAAACCTGGAAGGATATGGAATGGGATTTATTTTCATGGCTGCCTGGTGGACCATGGGTTAGAAGAATGTTATTTTTTTTGTTATGTGGTGTAATGACGTTATTATTTGTACCTTGTATGATACCTTGTTTTACATTATTAATACGCCGGGTGATAAATAGTACATTGGTAATAACTTCATTAAGAAAGGAAGGGAACATGTCAATTATGATGCTTAAGGATTGGAGAACAAACCAAGAACAAACTGATGAAATCCAATTATTAATAACAGAAGAGACACGAATTGGGGATATTAAAAAGAAGATAAGGGATTGTGAGGAATGTTTTAACAATTCCAATTCGTGTCCATAAATTCGTGTCCATAAATTCGTGTCCATAAATAAATAAGTCCGTAATAATGTAATAATTCTGTTTGAATCCTGCCTGCCTCTGGGCCCTGCACTGGCAATTTAATTCTTGAACCGCAGATGCAGTGTGCTCCGGTCTCCCCCTCATTCCAGTCAGTTTATCACGTCTTCAGAAAACACTCCTTAAATTTATGAACCTGTTTGCTTTTGTTATTCCTGACTTCTAGTTCTAACAGTTACAGTTTTTCTTTTCTGTCTTCTCTGTCGAGAGTGATTTAACACTGCTATAGATGTTATGTAGATGACTGTGAATAGCTGGGAAAGAATGTTTTAATTGCTCGTGAATCGCCAACCTGTTTGGGAGTTTTAGAACAACTGATAATAACCGGTGACTGCTGGTGACTGTTATGGGATCCTTGGTATCTGGCCAGGGGGGCCAAGAGATTGAGAGGAAGAGAAAGGAAGCTGAAGGACGGCTGGGAGACAAGACCTGGGAGAGTTTACAGAGAGTGTTCCATAAACTTGGAATAGTGCCAAGTAAGTGCAAAGGGTGAGAGGAAGACTACGAGCCTTCAGCATGAAAGACCCCTAGAGACCCCCAGAGGAGACTGATGCGCATGCTCCAGTAGGAGGAACCGGACTCCGGAAGCTAATTATAATAATCTACTTTTTTAGAAGTAGTAATGAATATGTATTAGTCTAGGTGCATAAAAATCAGCTGCTTGATGTAACTGGTGTGCGTCCTGGTGGAGCGGAGACTCCCGGTGCACCCAGCGCTGTTTGCTTACCTCTATTCCTTTATATTCTTTTAATAAATCCTATTTTTCATTTAATCCTAAATTGAATCCTGAGCCATTTATAACACACAGCAACCCTAAATATAGCCCTGGCCCGCCTGGCAGTCGACTGAAATCTCGGGCCCCAGAAAATGCGTTAAAAGCCTAATTCGCCCATCCAAAAGTGCCCCCAGAGGAAGGCTTTGGGTACAAGTGAACTCCCCAGGGGAGCCTTTACGCAGCCCCACATGCAACTGGACCCTCCTTGTTCACTGTTTACGAGCAACCCTAAATATACCCCTAGCCACCATGGCAGAAGACTGAAAACTCGGGCTCCAGAAAATGCGTTTCAAGCCCCATTCACCCATCCAGAAGTGCCCCCAAAGGAAGGCTTTGGGTACAACTGAACTCCCCAGGGGAGCCTTTACGCAGCCCCACATGCAACTGGACCCTCCTTGTTCACTGTTTACGAGCAACCCTATATATACCCCTAGCCACCATGGCAGAAGACTGAAAACTCGGGCTCCAGAAAATGCGTTTCAAGCCCCATTCACCCACCCAAAAGTGCCCCCAGAGGAAGGCTTTGGGTACAAGTGAACTCCCCAGGGGAGCCATTATGCAGACCCATACGCAACTGGACCCTCCGTGTTTGCTGTTTCCAAGCAACACTAAATATAACACTAGCCAGCATGGCAGAAGACTGAAATCTCGGGCTCCAGAAAAAGCGTTTCAAGCCCCATTCACCCATCCAGAAGTGCCCCCAAAGGAAGGCTTTGGGTACAAGTGAACTCCCCAGGGGAGCCTTAACGCAGCCCCACATCCAACTGCACCCTCCGGGTTCACTCTTTCACAGCAACCCTAAATATAGCCCTAGCAAGCCTGGCAGTCGACTGAAAGCTCGGGCCACAGAAAATGTGTTACGAGCCCCATTCGCCCATCCAAAAGTGCCCCCAAAGGAAGGCTTTGGGTACAAGTGAACTCCCCAGGGGAGCCTTTACGCAGCCACACATGCAACTGGACCCTCCGTGTTCGCTCTTTACAGCAACCCTAAATATCACCCTAGCCAGCATGGCAGAAGACTGAAAACTCGGGCCACTTAAAACGTGCTACAACCCCATTCGACCATCCAAAAGTGCCCCCAAAGGAAGGCTTTGGGTACAACTGAACTCCCCAGGGGAGCCTTTATGCAGCCCCACATGCAACTGGACCCTCCGGGTTCACTCTTTCACAGCAACCCTAAATATAGCCCTGGCCCGCCTGGCAGTCGACTGAAAACTCGGGCCCCAGAAAATGCGTTAAAAGCCTAATTCGCCCATCCAAAAGTGCCCCCAGAGGAAGGCTTTGGGTACAACTGAACTCCCCAGGGGAGCCTTTATGCAGGCCCATCCGCAACTGGACCCTCCGTGTTCGCTGTTTACAAGCAACACTAAATATAACACTAGCCAGCATGGCAGAAAACTGAAAACTCGGGCCACAGAAAAAGCGTTTCAAGCCCCATTCACCCATCCAGAAGTGCCCCCAAAGGAAGGCTTTGGGTACAAGTGAACTCCCCAGGGGAGCCTTTATGCAGCCCCACATGCAACTGGACCCTCCGGGTTCACTCTTTCACAGCAACCCTAAATATAGCCCTGGCCCGCCTGGCAGTCGACTGAAAACTCGGGCCCCAGAAAATGCATTAAAAGCCTAATTCGCCCATCCAAAAGTGCCCCCAGAGGAAGGCTTTGGGTACAAGTGAACTCCCCAGGGGAGCCTTTACGCAGCCCCACATGCAACTGGACCCTCCTTGTTCACTGTTTACGAGCAACCCTAATTATACCCCTAGCCACCAGGGCAGAAGACTGAAAACTCGGGCTCCAGAAAATGCGTTTCAAGCCCCATTCACCCATCCAGAAGTGCCCCCAAAGGAAGGCTTTGGGTACAACTGAACTCCCCAGGGGAGCCTTTATGCAGCCCCACATGCAACTGGACCCTCCGGGTTCACTCTTTCACAGCAACCCTAAATATAGTCCTAGCAAGCCTGGCAGTCGATTGAAAGCTCGGGCCACAGAAAATGTGTTACGAGCCCCATTCGCCCATCCAAAAGTGCCCCCAGAGGAAGGCTTTGGGTACAAGTGAACTCCCCAGGGGAGCCTTAACGCAGCCCCACATGCAACTGGACCCTCCGTGTTCGCTCTTTACAGCAACCCTAAATATAACCCTAGCCAGCATGGCAGAAGACTGAAAACTCGGGCCACAGAAAACGTGCTACAAGCCCCATTCGACCATCCAAAAGTGCCCCCAAAGGAAGGCTTTGGGTACAAGTGAACTCCCCAGGGGAGCCTTTATGCAGCCCCACATGCAACTGGACCCTCCGGGTTCACTCTTTCACAGCAACCCTAAATATAGCCCTGGCCCGCCTGGCAGTCGACTGAAAACTCGGGCCCCAGAAAATGCGTTAAAAGCCTAATTCGCCCATCCAAAAGTGCCCCCAAAGGAAGGCTTTGGGTACAACTGAACTCCCCAGGGGAGCCTTTATGCAGCCCCACATGCAACTGGACCCTCCTTGTTCACTGTTTACGAGCAACCCTATATATACCCCTAGCGACCATGGCAGAAGACTGAAAACTCGGGCTCCAGAAAATGCGTTTCAAGCCCCATTCACGCATCCAAAAGTGCCCCCAGAGGAAGGCTTTGGGTACAACTGAACTCCCCAGGGGAGCCATTATGCAGACACATACGCAACTGGACCCTCCGTGTTCGCTGTTTCCAAGCAACACTAAATATAACACTAGCCAGCATGGCAGAAGACTGAAACCTCGGGCTCCAGAAAAAGCGTTTCAAGCCCCATTCACCCATCCAGAAGTGCCCCCAAAGGAAGGCTTTGGGTACAAGTGAACTCCCCAGGGGAGCCTTAACGCAGCCCCACATCCAACTGGACCCTCCGGGTTCACTCTTTCACAGCAACCCTAACTATAGCCCTAGCAAGCCTGGCAGTCGACTGAAAGCTCGGGCCACAGAAAATGTGTTACGAGCCCCATTCGCCCATCCAAAAGTGCCCCCAAAGGAAGGCTTTGGGTACAAGTGAACTCCCCAGGGGAGCCTTTACGCAGCCACACATGCAACTGGACCCTCCGTGTTCGCTCTTTACAGCAACCCTAAATATAACCCTAGCCAGCATGGCAGAAGACTGAAAACTCGGGCCACTTAAAACGTGCTACAAGCCCCATTCGACCATCCAAAAGTGCCCCCAAAGGAAGGCTTTGGCTACAACTGAACTCCCCAGGGGAGCCTTTATGCAGCCCCACATGCAACTGGACCCTCCGGGTTCACTCTTTCACAGCAACCCTAAATATAGCCCTGGCCCGCCTGGCAGTCGACTGAAAACTCGGGCCCCAGAAAATGCGTTAAAAGCCTAATTCGCCCATCCAAAAGTGCCCCCAAAGGAAGGCTTTGGGTACAACTGAACTCCCCAGGGGAGCCTTTATGCAGCCCCACATGCAACTGGACCCTCCTTGTTCACTGTTTACAAGCAACCCTAAATATAACACTAGCCAGCATGGCAGAAAACTGAAAACTCGGGCCACAGAAAAAGCGTTTCAAGCCCCATTCACCCATCCAGAAGTGCCCCCAAAGGAAGGCTTTGGGTACAAGTGAACTCCCCAGGGGAGCCTTTATGCAGCCCCACATGCAACTGGACCCTCCGGGTTCACTCTTTCACAGCAACCCTAAATATAGCCCTGGCCCGCCTGGCAGTCGACTGAAAACTCGGGCCCCAGAAAATGCGTTAAAAGCCTAATTCGCCCATCCAAAAGTGCCCCCAGAGGAAGGCTTTGGGTACAACTGAACTCCCCAGGGGAGCCTTTATGCAGCCCCACATGCAACTGGAATCTCCGGGTTCACTGTTTCACAGCAACCCTAAATATAGCCCTGGCCCGCCTGGCAGTCGACTGAAAACTCGGGCCCCAGAAAATGCGTTAAAAGCCTAATTCGCCCATCCAAAAGTGCC